ATGTTGTTTTTGGCTAGGAGCGATAGGGAGCGCCCGGGGGTGGGGGGTGTTCCCCTCGGCGGGAGCTCTGCACGGCCGCCGGTGTCAGCCGGCGTCATCTCCCTCCCAACGCTGCCAGAAGGGGCAGGGGGGACCACCTCCCATCCGAGCTTTATCGGGAATTTTACAACTGCGCTGTTTGTGTCAGCTGAAGTTGGGTGAAAGCACAGCACAGCAGCTTCGCTGAGTTTTTTGGTACAAAACACGTGAAGGTAACGATCTGAAATACTTTGTTTCCTTAAAAAGTGCACCTGACCGAATGCCTGGTTTTACCAGCGGGGATGCCCCGTGAAATCCGTAATCTGTTGTTCCGAGAGACTGGACTACATACGGAAAATCCCAACAAGTTTAATACCTGCTTAGTCGGAGTTGAGGGTGCTCTGAAATGTTCCATCGCCCAGGCGACGCGGCCTGCCTTGGCGCGCTTGATGCCGAGCGGCTTTGCACGCACAGGTGGTCCTTTCAACCACATGCTGCTGTTAAAGGGTATTTCCAGTGTGACTCTTCCAGGAGCTGACTGAAGCGAGCGAGGAAGGAACTGTGCTGGGAGGTGAAACTGGGAATCTGCGCTGGAAGGATATGGGTGTTCCAGGGATGCTTGTTTTGCCATCGGTGTGAGGTTCTTCCCCTGCAATTAGGAGGGAATAATGAGCGATGATTTGATCTCACAGAACACTAGAGAAGGCTGGGTGACTATTGCTGTAACTAATGAGGGAGGAACAGACAGAATATGAGCCTAACTACAGATTAAGTAGCCAATGTGTTGTGTAACTGTGGAGTTGTCTACCTATGAAAACCAAGAAAAACAAGCAATAAATATAACAAGGTGTTAATTCAACACATGTCAAAACCTAGCTAGGTAACCGCGCTCATATAACAGTGAAATCTCCAAGAGACGCTGTTGCTGGCCAGTTCCTTGTCACTGAGTTCAAATAAAGGAGAAAACGTGCAGGAGCAGTCTTATCCCATCAGTGTTTGCAGGTGACACGTTCCAGAGTATGCATTGACCTGGTGGCTCAGACTTTTCTTTGGCTGGTGACTCAACTCGTTGGTGATTCTGGTTTTTAACTCTTAAATAAAGGGATGGATATAGCCTTTTTACCTCGTGCTTACTGTGAAGAATGGAAGATTTGTGAAGGCTGAATCTGGCTAAAGGAATTTAAAATATCAGTATTAGGAGTATAAGAACTCTTAATTCACCTTAAAAGAAAAAAAAAACCGCAAAAAAAACCCCATCAAAATGCTGAGTTTTAGTATAGTCTTCAGAGGGAGATGATGTCCAACGGTTATATTACACAATGCAAAAGGATGTTAAAAACAGTGCTCGTCCATTGGCTGTAGGGCGCATCAACAGCCACTTGCCACTCTGAAAACATCATTTTGTAGTAAATGCACTCACATGAATGTGGAACCGTAGAGAATGGTCGTGCAGAAAGTAATTCTTATTATTTATCTCTTTTTGTAAGTATTTCTGCAGATTTCCTTGTCCTTTTTTTTAGTGAACTAATTCTCATTTATCTTTGTAAAAAAAGTTTGAGAGAGTTTGGAGTGGGAAGAGAAGGAGGCTTTGAAGAAAGTCAGGAGGGAGCAGGACGTCTTGGTGCTCGTGAACTTGAGTATCTTTATCCGAGTTGTTTGAATGGGAATTAGTAGGCCGGCCCTAAACCGTCTGCGAAACATTTCTTATGGTGCCTCTTTCCCACCCTCCAAAGAAAATTGTCTGTGTATGATTTGAAGTCTCTGCTCCAGGCCCATCTCTCCTCTGCTCCAGAAGGCAGCATGACCAAGGGATTAAACAACACAGGGGGGCTCGTGACCCCATGCGGGGAATACAGCGAGCGTGAGCCCAGCCAGGAATTCACCTCCGAGTAGCTGCCAGTGAAAAGCCTGGAAACTGCTGCAGCAGCATAACTAACTACTCCTGCTCTTGGGAGACTACCCTGAAACGGGAATGTTTTCCTTGCGGTGATGACAGATAGGAGCTCAGCTGCTGCTGTAACCATATGTCAGGACAATGTGATTAAAAGTCTGTGTGAGGGTGTAATATGAAGTAATTTGTGTGTAGCTGGTACTGATGAAGGTAATAACAGGGTTAATGCTGGCAAGCTGTGTGAAGTTGTCTCACCTTTCATCTGTGAAGGCTTGTGGGAGTGTGACTGGTACTGTTAAGCGGTGAAAAGGAGCTGGAGACACTTTCAAAAATAGCATATTTTTCTGCAGCATAATTGGTGTCTCTCCCTTATTTTACATTATTACCCTAAAGATGAGCATGTATTGAGAAATAATGTGCGTCATTATGCATGCTGGATAAATGACTTTTTGCAGATAGTAGGAAGTAATACAGATTGAGCTACCCTTTAATGCTCAGTGAAGTCTTTGGATCAAAACCCCTTGATGATCTAGATAAGGTTTCATTTTGCAATTTTTCTTACATGCAGTAGTTATTGGGAGCCTACTTGAAACCAGGGTAGATCCAGACATGCATGTATATTGTTAGGGACTAACTTGGTGAACTGGAGCGTGCATAAATTCCTAAATTAATTTTGCTTTCTGTCATCAGAAATGACTTTAAATTTCTGAAACTGAAGTTTCCTGATAACTGTGTGTTCTTTTCTAATCAAGTTAAACTAGCCTTTGTTTAAGTGTAGCGGGGCAACTTTGATACCATCATGGGTTCTACTTTCCTTCTAAAGTCTGTTGAATACCTTGTTCCAAGTGGTCGTCTCTGAGCTGTTACATCCAGTGAGCACTGGACTCCTGTTTTCATTGCAGAATGCCTGCCACTTTGTGGATGTGTGTATTTTTTAAAAATGTATTTTTAACTGTTAGAAAACCTCTACAATTAAGGTGGTTTTGCTTGTTCCATTAGGCAGTTAATTGGAATTGCCCTATGGATTCTGAATTACTGAAATAGTGTAGTGGTAATGCATCTGCTCAACTGGGCAGTTTTCTTGGGAAATGCTTTTCTTGGTGCTTAACTGAAGAAATTTTAATAGCAATGAATCTCTTGCACTTTGTAAGATGAGCAGCTATAAGTTTATAAACAAACTGACCCCCTGGTAGAGTTTAACAACTTGTTATGATACCAGTAAGTGATCTGTAGGATCTCAGCCCTATACCCTATAAGCTTTCAATTATTTAAGCTCCAATCAGGTTTATCAATCATTAACACTGTTCTTCTTGTCTGCCTGCATGATGTTCATTTGATTGAAGTATTTAATATGTTGTGTGTTCTTCTAACTGAATTTCCGTTTAATGTTAGTCATTTAAAGGTTTTAATACATTTAAAGGTTTTAATACATTTTAATGTGGTATTCAGTGTTTAAAGTATTTTGTCTAGGGTGCTGAATAAAGCTTAGGTGATCGTTTTGCTGAGCTTTCTTACCCCTGAACTTCTCCTGCCTCTTGTACTTCTTATGTACGCTGTGACCTGTCATTATGCACAATAGGAAATATTGCCTTCAGGTTTCCAGAGTACTTTCTCCCCCCTCCTCTTCTCTTTCATGTTGTTACAACAAGATATTTTTTTACATCCCATGAAGAATTGTTCCAGGAATAGTTTTAAATGTATTTAACTTCTCAGATAACTTTTTTAATACCTTAGGCCTCCAGCTGCAATTTGTGTTATATTACACTGCAGTATGTTAAATATCTTTGTTTCTTTGTGTGGCTTTTATCAGAAATGGGGGAAGGGCGATATTACAAATTCATACTGGATCAAGCTGTAGAGGCCATGGGAATAGCTAATTATGCTGCTTCTGATCTATTCAGTAGTTCAGGGTGTGAGTGCCTTGTGGGGCACTTGCATTTCCTGTTTCAAGGGACAGTATGCAGTGATGAAGTTTGGGATGGGTGGATAATTCACAGGATTTTATTTCTCCCCGTTCTTCCTAGTGTTGCCAGATGGGATCTCTGCTTTGTTAGTGAGCAGGTCTGCTTTATGAGGTTAATTTACATGCAAGTCAGTTGGACTTTAAAAGAGGCAGGTATAAAGGTTATTTCAGCAGAATAAACTAAATGGCAATGTGCCTAGCATTTCCTCAAATTATTGATTAAGAAACCTTCTTGAAAACGCTCTATTTGTCTAGCCTCTGTCCTTGTTAGTAGTCTGCCTTGGGGACTCTCCTTTCTCTCCCACTGTGTGTGTTGTTGAGCGTGTTTAATTATGGACAGAGTTGCGCCTTGGTGCCATACAGCCTCTCTGAAAAGGGACCTGGATCACCCCAAGGAGACCGACTCAAGCTGCCTCCCAGGGCTTGGTGGCACAGCTGGAAGAGGACTTCTCGCTGCCTTCTGTGTGAGCCCACCGATAACAAAGGAACTCCCAGATCCTTTTAATCTGTGGGCTTTCGTCTTTCTGTGAAGTGTAAAAACTTATTTAATGCTCTGGAAACCAGATGGTGCTCCTATTCATGAGGTAATGAGCCGATAAAACTCTGCTCTCAGTTTTATTATCTTTAGGCCTGGTTTCTCTCAGCTTAGTCACTTGTGAGTCAGGTAAAGTCTTTTTGATCTTCATTTCTCAAACGGTCGGATGATATTGTGTATAAAGGTCACTAGAAATCCTGGACATCATGTGAAGTATACTTAATTATCTTAGTCACTGTTGCTTAACTCTTTCAGGCTTTTCTGTGGAACGTGAAAGACCTGAAACATTGTTTAAGACCGTGTTAGATAACTATTGCTGTAGTTGGGCAAATGGTCATGGAGAGGGAATGGTGAGAGAGTCGGGGGCAGAACAGCAATCGTGGCTCTGTCATGATGCTGGACGTGTTAAAAGGCAGAAACTAGTCTTCAGCTTGCTTTTGCTGTTTGCTTTTTGTTAATCATTAATATCCTGGATCTTGCTGCTGGCATTTAGTTAGTCATGCCTGTGTCCTCACCAGTTGTTTCACTGTAGCGAAGGCATTACGTGGATGTTGAACCCAGTTGTGCCGAAAGGATGAGCCCTTTGCTTTTGTTGCTGTGGCATTAATACCAATAATTTTGTTATTGAGATGGTAATATAATTTCTGTACCAGTTTCTTCTATGCTACGGTGATAATTCCAGGTCTTAATATGATATGATCTCTTGATAGATGGCTGTGTGCAGTGCCCTGGCTTTTATTTGCATCTATTTTAAAGAGGAGGATTGGGGGAACACTTCTTGCCCTTTTCCTGATTTTTTTTTTTTTTTTTTTAATCCTACTTTTAAAATTTTATTTCATCCTTTTGCAAAGTGAAGCATGTACATTTAAAAATCAATGATGTGCTGCAGTTATCTCTTGTTCTGCGTGGTTCTCTCGATTATGAAATTGTTTCAGGAAAACCTTTATCTGTGATGTATCTGGGTTGTAGTTATGGTACCCAAACTCAGGTGAAAACCTGGACACATTCACATTGCTGGTTTGAAAGCTTCTGATGTTGTTGAGTTCTTCAGTATCAAACATGTGGTCTGTGAAATACTAACTGCTACGGATCAGAACGTTTAATAAAGTGAGTGGAAGCTGCAGGGAGGTTAAGCCACTTGTAAAAGGTCATACAGGGAGGTCAGCCAACCAACCAACTGGTGCATTGTGGTGCAGCTGGAATACAAGTCTGTCATACCCAAAGTAAGTATTAAATGAGTAA